TGTTGCCGACGAGACGATAGTCATTCGCTGCGACGCTGCGGCGGTGTACGGCGGCTGCAAGGGTGTGCTGCTTGGGTCCTTCACGATCAGGTCGAACACGCTGCCCGCCGCTGCCAGCGCCCTCTCGGCGGTCACCGGCGTTGTTGCGGGTACGACGGCTGTTGCCGTGGTGGTGACTGGCGGGCTGGGCTCCATCCTGGAGATGCAGGCACTCGGCGTGTTTGCGAGGATGCCATGCGCCTCGGCGCAGGAGCGTGCGAGCACCGTTGCGCTGCCGTACTTCCTGTCGCTGTTCGCTGCCCTTGACCCGCTGTGGATGGTGGTGGGCAACGTGCTGCTGGCCGCTGTGTTCGGGTGCGTGCACTACGGTGTGACGGCCGCCTTCCAGCGGTGGCGCGGCGTGGACGCGGCGAGTGCGTGGGCGGCGTTGCGCTTCCCGAGTCTGACGTACGTCGTGGCACACGCGATGCACCTTGGCATCTTTTTTGGCTCTGTGCTTGCACTGGCGATGCCCGGCGCTCGCGTGCTGCACCGCGTGGTTGGTGTCGTTGGCGTGCTGTACGGAGTGGCGTTCCCTGCTGGCGTGTGCTACTTCATTGCCCGCCACGTGGGCGCGAGCTTCACGAAGTACTGGCAGTTTTCGAGGAAGCCGTTGCACGAGCGCCTGCTGTACCCCGTCGGGTATTGGTACCCCGCAGCGCAGCAGCGGATGTACGGCGGCATGCTGACGAACATGAGGGGCAGCCACGTGTACTGGTGCGTGTTCCAGCTGTCGGTGCTGTGTGTGGTGGGCCTGATTGCGGCTGTGCACCCGCCCGTGGGAGGCTGCCACGTCCAGTACTTCTGCATGGCGGCTGTGCTGCTTGCGGGCGCGGGCGTGGTTGCCTTCACTAACATGATGCGCTCGGCCTTCCTGACGGTGATGCGCACGGCGAGCCTCGTGCTCCTTGCGGCGCTGTGCGTGGTCAGCGCGGCCAACCACCTTGCGCCGAGCGACGGCGGTGTGAGGGCGTACGCGGCACTTCTGATGCTGCTGGCGACTGTGCTGCTTGCGGTCACTGTGTACAGCGTCGTTGTGTGGTACGTGGAGGACCGCCACTGGCAGGAGCTGCGCGAGCCTCGGCGTGGTGGGCTGGAGGCCCTGCTGCGCGATGACGAGGAGAGCGACGAAGAGGCGCGGAAGCTCCACGACAGGGCGTCATCGTCGTACGCCTCAGACACCACCGGCGCGTCGTCGTACCGACCACCCGCACCGCCGTTGCAGTCTGTGTCCGGTGACACCTGCTCAGACGCCCTGAGCCTGCTCGACCGTGCATCCAGTGCGAGCTGCAAAAGTGATCGCACCCTCCTGTGATGTGCAACACGTAGAACTGGCAGGCGTGCGGTGCTGGTTGATGCGGGAGGGCGCAGGGCCACGGATTTGCTGCGCACCACAGCCAGCCATCGTTAACCGCACCGACAGTGTTGTTGGTCGTTGTTTCTATCGATTTGTTTTTATTTTGAGCGGGTGCTTTCAGGATTTGCTCCCGTTCCACGATGATTGTGTGGAAGGGGATTGAATTGTCGCTCTTGTTACTCCTGGTGTTGTGTTTTATCGGACTCTAATTTCATGGAGTTGCGTGCGAGGAAGTCAACGCTCATTTTGTGCAATGGAAAAGGGTACAGTGAACCGCCTATTGGAAGTAATGAATTGCAGCCCTGCCTTACCGTGGGTTTCCATGCAGGAGGCATTACGGCTCTCAGAAGCAAAGCGGCGACAGAGTAGGAGCAGGGCTCCAGTTTTCCAGTAACGTCTTCGAGCGGGATTATGTATTGAGGCGCGACGTATTGCTGTGATTTCGGGCTGCCGTGGCGTGGCGAGTGCACAGGGTGATCGATGTCTCTTTAGCGGCGGAAGTGACGGACCAAGCCATCCCAGTCAGTTTCCACAATAATCTTCAAACGCACCGCCGCCATGGCTGGATCCCTCGGGTGTGCACGTGGAACGTGGGAGCCTTGGATGACGCGGCATTGGGATTCGTTGCCCGTTACGGCCCGCACTTTTGTGTGTGCAGGAGGTGTGACAGCCACTTCCGGCTATTGGCACATCTCTTCACGGCGCGGCCTTTGATTTAATTGGCACACCCCATTCCACAGGCAAGGGATATCGTCGCGGATTGGCCACGCTGGTACGAGGAAGCCTCCACGAGGAATTCCTTCTTTTCCCCAATTTCCCTCCGGCCGTGCGAAGTTCATGCACCACAGCAGATACAGAGGGGTGTGGTGTTAGCATGGAGGGCACGATATTTACCGAGACTTTTTCCACGGCAGCGTGCGCCTATGCACCTACTCGTCGAACCGTGGAGGCACGCGAACAAATGTCGACGGTTCTGGATCACCTGGTGACTCACATTGTGGACGTACCCTTTTGTCTCGCCCGCAGCGCCGAGGAGCGTGCACACGGATGCAGTTTGTCCTTGGCCACTGCGGCGTGCCCAGGAACGAAGCTTGTGATGCATAAGCCAAGAAGGCGTCCGACCTCGCACAGCTCATTGACACATGGACCACCGGCATGGTCGCATTGGCCGAACGTATTATTCGTGCCCGACAGCTCAAGCCAGAAGCTTACCGCTCCACTGCAGCAGGCGACTGGGAACCCACGCGCACGGACGCCACCCTCACTCGTGGGGGAGGAGGCTGCACTGGCCCGCCTCCGCAGCGGGGTTTCGCACAAATACGGATGGCTGCCACGGCCACTGCAACCCGCCATCCCGAGCACATTCCGTTGGTGCGGTCCGGATGCCGCACAGCAGACACGCAAAGAAATATGCACGGAAACGCCTCCTCCTCCCGCTGGACCCCACCCCGCCACGATCCGACGGCCGGCAGACTATCCGGTGTGCGGAATGCACTACAGCTGCCGCACTAGTGTCGTGACGCACATGGTTAACGCCCAGGGCTTTACGCGCTCTCCCAGGCGCTGCGGGAGTTCGGCTTTCCCGGTGAGTCGGAACCGCCAGAAATCCCACCGGAACCACCGCCCAACACTTGAGCGAGGACGAGAGCGAGAGACGGCACAACGATCGCACCTCCGCCACAGACTGCACAGCCCAGGCCGAAGCCACCCCATGCAGTTTCCGCATGGCGTTGTAGGACAAGCAACCCGGAATCGTACTTCATCTTCGGCACTTCCACAAGCAAGAGTTCCCCCGAGAAATAAGGGGCGTTGCCAGGAATATGACGGTCTGACGGCATCCACCCCGTTGGGATGCATGTACTGTGTGAATTCAGGGCTCAGGCTCAGGCGGGACCGCTATCCTGCATACGAGCACACGAACACTCCAGCACAGAGCCACGGTCGGCACCGAAGGAAGCGCTTTGTAAGTGCCCTTAATGTGACAGGCAGACGGGGAATGACGGGGGATTGACCACCCACACACGGCACAAACACCCGACAGCAAGAAAACCAGGACACCAAAAAATGGAGATTAAATAGCCACGCGCTGCAAGGCTTGAACCTCCGCATGAAGAACATCAAACCCAAACAGAAAAACCGCCTCTGCACAGGAGAATGCCACCGAGAAACAGTGCGCCGTGTGTCTAAAATGGCACGCACACATGCGTTGATGAACGTCACGCTGTCGCCGATTTCACGACGGCAGAGGGGTCAGGCTGCCGAGAAGACGCAAGTTGCCCGGCGACGACAGCCCGATGGGATCAACACCAGTTTAGCTTTGCCGTCCAGCATGCGGGCTTCAGTGCCACAGCAATGCCTGACTGACCCGCTACCGCACGGCACGCCACGGGCATCTACCGGACATTGTGAAAACCGGCCGACCGGAGCTGCGCGGAGAGGCAGCTCTGCATTTACTCCGCTGCCCGGCTCTGCAGGCACCCAGAAAAAAGCATGGAGCGGACATTGGAGAGGTGAGGAAGTCGTGCTTCACGGAAATATTGGTGTGTCTCCACTTTGAATTGGAAAGGTCTCCGCCCCAGCAGTACCTCCGCGCGGCGAGAAGGCACGAGGCCCCTAGCAGATGCGGCAGGCCGTATTTGCTCCTGGCAGGCTGCCCTCTTCTCCCTTTCCTCATTTATAGCGTCCATTTTTTGGTTGTTTCCGTGATTTGTTGTTTTATTGATTCTTGGCAGTAACGGATTATCGAGCCACCGCGCTATCCCCGGGGCGGGTGCGTAGCGGTGGTGTGTGCTTCACGGCCTCCACTGCGGCTCCCACTTCGGGTGCCGGGGCTCTCTTTTACATCTCCGATCGTTGGGCGGACGTGCTTTGCGATGGTGGCTGGCGTGTGGGCCTTCGTATTTATTTGAGAAGACACGAGGAATAGTAACAATATATATATATATATATATATATATATCAACAGCGCTGAATAGATATCAATATCGACAACTAAATACCTATCTATATACATATGCAGCCAATAAAATAGCAATTGAATAAGCCAAGAAACCAAGCGATCTGTCAATTGTAGGGGAAAGAAGGGATATATCCATATCTATACACATGCATCAATGAATAAGAATAAAGTATCGTTTTTATTCTCATGCCCATATCGATATATCTATACATTGATCAAAGCTTATTTTCGTATATATATCTCCATATAATTTTTCCTCCGTTCTTTCTTATTTGTGGCATTTTGCTTCCGTTGTATTATGTATTCTTCTCCCGTGAGTTCATTCGTGCTTTTTCAGGGCGCATAGGCATTCCGTCCCACAGACAGCGTTTCATATGCACTGAAGCACCCCATCGGGCAAAAGTCGCAAGGGGTTTGCGAAGCCCCATCCCAATTGAATGATGATTGCTATCTTCTTTGATCTCCTGAGGAGCTGCGACGTGTGAGTGCGTTGCCCCCGACACCCAACACAATGACAACTTTCAACGAGCAGTTTGCAGGCACAT